CCAGGGGTACCTGGGTGGCTCGTGGGTAAGCATCTGCCTTCAGCTCAGGTCATGATCTCTGGGTCCCAGGATCCAGTCCACACATAGGGCTCCCAGCTTGTGCCCTCTCTTTCTCTCTCTGTCAAATGAATAAATAAAATCTTTAAAAAGAAATTCTGCAAGATCTGGAACTTCATCCTCCTCCTCCTCCCCCTCCTCTGTGGTAGCAAATGGTGCTTTTCTGTCCAGAGACTGTGTGGGCAGCTTAGCCATTCTTCCTGAACTGGGCGGCCTGTCTGCACCAGGTTGCTTGAAGACGCTGGGCAGCCTTTCTGTCAGCTGCTCTGTCTCCACACTGCCTGTGGTGGCCGAAGTGTTCACTGCCAGGGACGCCTGAACTTTTCGGCTTGTGAAGGGAGATGGCTGTTTCTTGGTTTGTGAGCATAGTTGTTTCTTCAATCCAGAGATATTGTTAACCCCTAACTTCTTTAAGGAGACCTGAAGTTTTTTATTATCTGCTGTAGCCATTCTATGCACCACTGATGTGGGAAACAGAGGCGGAAGAAAAATTATTAAATTTCCTTACCCACTAACAAGCCCTTAAAACAGGCAGAGTGACATTCCTCTAGGGACTCGAGTTCCTCCACTTTAACACTTTGCTAAGGGCAAAGGGCAATCCTAGCCTGACCGACCTCTACCCCCAATAAGAATCCTGTAGGTCTACTTAAACAATTCCTTTGGAAACCTTATCTCTAAACCCTCCAAGATAGTGTTGACAATCATTCCCAAGCATATGGCCCACTGATATACATCTAAAGGGTCTCCCGAAAACGTTTTATTACTGGTAATGAATAACCTTTTTCCCAACAACAGCTAGCTCCCCAAGGTCCTGGAAACCTTGCTTCCAAAATTCCTTAGAGACTAACACCATTCCTGACCCCCTCCCAACTTGCAAGCATGTAATGGACCACCCCTCACAACTCCAGGTGTAAGGACCTATTTTACTGTCCCTGCTCCCCTTCCCCCAGGGGACTTAAAAAACAAGTCCTGGAAACCAGCTCCAGGTGTGGAGGCCAAGAAAAACAAGGCTGTACCCACCTCCAGTCTAGCCCTGACATAAGTACACCCATCTTGGCAAAGCAAAAGCTGGCACCTTGCACTATAAGAGTGGGTTAGCCTAAGAGTGGCCATCCTGAAGGCCGGGAAGCCATTTTACTGAGCGTCCCTAACCAGCCCACAGGGCGCACGTAACTTGAGATAAGAGAAAGTAGCTAAAACCTAAGAAACAACTTAATCATATGCCACCAGGGCGGTTAGGCGACGGCGCCACAGGGACCAAATGTTAAAGAAAAACAAATAGTTAACTTGCAGAGATCACAATCCTGCAAGACAGGAGTCTCTCTTGGTTTGCAAATGTCCTGGTGATTTACAACAAAAAGGGCTATCTCTTCAATGGCCCAATTTCCAGAGACAAATGAGGCCAAAGGTTGCCCTTCCCACCATAAAACTGTAGGAGGCTGAGGCCGAAGGAGATGTAATTAAGGTGAAAGTTCTTCTAACCCTAAATCTCACTTAACCGCCAGGGTGACGCTGGGGTGGCAAAAAGTTAAAAGTTAAACTGTCAAAGTGTGGTGCAAGAGATGTATGTAGCCATGAAAAAGTGCCTTGAAAATGCTATATAAACCCTTGGCTTTGGGTGCTCAGGGTCCTTGTTGAAACCCGCTGCACCGGGCGGATACTTGGACCCTAGCTAACTGGAAATAAACATCGCTCTGTGACTTGCATTATCGAGAGTGTTCTCTGTCTAATCGAGGGGTGGTTGACTCCGTACCCTAACACAGGGCAGCTCTTTCTGCCCACGGGTCCTGTCCCCCCCCTTATTATTTATTAAATAATAATAATTATTATTTAATAATAAACTTATTAAAGTTTATGCTTTAATAAACCACCATTTTGCGCCAAAGACATCTCAAGAGTTCTTTCTTGTCCGTGGGCTCCGAACTCTACGTCACTGAACCCTATCTATATTCTAAGACTTCATCACCACCTTCTTTGTGCGAGCAGTTCCTTTCCCCTGCGATGCGCACGTGTACTTGCAGTTTGGCGAGTTTCTCCTGGTTCCTGATTGTTTCTTTCAATGCGTGGCAGAGGAAATGGAACCTTACTCCGGGGACTGGGGTTGGTGTTCAGGGGGTCTCCCGCAGACCAGCTAAGATCAGATGCACACAGGCGAGGACGTGAGATCTGGGGAAACAACTTCTTCACCTCTCTGAGCCTGTTGACTGGGATGTCATCTAGGATGACTGCGGCTTCTGACAGGTTTGTGGTGAGATTCGAAGGAGATCTGAAACTACGGAGAGCTGAGTACCACACTCTCTTAAAAGTAGTTGCTGCGGCTGCTTTATCCCAGACCCAGAGTGTCCCTGGACTTCCCTCTCCAGGATAAGGCTTGCTTTTCAGAAGTGGGGGTAGGAAGTAGTTGTCTCTAATCCTGAGAACAGGTTAGGATCACTCAGCATGGGCTCTGATACCTGTATGCAAGAAAATGAGTTTTCTCATGTCCGAAATGTGAGCCCTTCTTTGTCCTAGATGTAAGGGGAAATTTTACAAGTAAGCTCTGCTAATTTGGAGAGGGCCGTCTCTGAAATCTCAGGTCTATATGACGTAAAATCAAGTTTCCTCCTCTTGTTTTTAGTCCCTAGAATGACGGAAATGGAGTGTGTTGACTTGCATGGTTTAGGAGTCTGTGGTCGGGACGCCTGGGCGGCTCAGATGGTTAAGCATCTGCCTTTAGCTCAAGTCACGATCTCCAGGTCCTGGGATCCAGCCCCACATCTGGCTCCTGGCTGACTCAGCGGGGAGTCTGCTTCTCCCTCCCCCTCTGCCACTCCCCCTACTTGTGTGCTCTGTCTTTCTCTCTCAAATGAATAAATGAAATCTTTAGGAAAAAAAAAAGGAGTCTGTGGTTAGTTTAGCAGCCCTTTGATCTTCTCATATTTGGTATGGTGAGCTATTAGTCATTCTTCTGAAGTACAAGGCTCATTTGTACCCACTGTATATCTGTTAGTTTTGCCTGGAGATCTCTTCCTTTACTGTTCCATCTGATAAACTCACACTTAGTTTTCAAGAACCAACTGATATGGCTCCTGCTATTTAAACGATGCCTATGTCTCCAGACCTCCCTTTGGCCAGATACGTTGCTGCGTCCTCTTTGCCCACACAGCACCTTGTCAGTTTCCTCACAACGCACCACTTAGCGCCGTATTACATCTACTTACACACGTCTCTCCCCAAAGAAGGTCACCTCCTAAGGGTCAGGGGCCATTGCCATCTGTGTCCCTCATTCCCTGCCCCACCCCGCATTTCTCTTCACTTTGACTTCTTAGCTATTGTACTCCTCAGTAACTTGGTAGGACATAAGCTAGCGTCCCAGGCTCTGGTTGGCAGGGATGCCTTACAACAGTGCCTCGTGCAGGGTAGAAGCTTAAATACAACTGAATGAGAGTCGGTACCGGCAAACTGACAATTATTTTTGAAAATTTAAACAGCCCCACGTTTAATGGTACCAGGTACCCCTTGCGGACAACCTGGAATTAGCTTTCTGGCCCTTGAGGACTTGTGGGATTCTGATGGAATCAATTTTCTGGTTACAATTTTTTTGTGAACATAAGCCAAGATGTATGATTTATGGGATAAATCTAGGGGAAACCTTATTTTTATTTTCCAGAAAGGGACAAATGCTACTGGTGGTTTGATAACTTCCTTGCTTACAATAATCTTGAGGTGAAAATGTCACTGAAATCTGCCCTTCCCCTCACATCATAATAATAAATAGCGATGCCAACCTTGTTTTACCTGGAACCACACCACTGAGACCAGAGGCTCTATAAGGCTGAACTACACTGAGAGTTTTTCCAACAATATTTTGCTCTTTAAAAACACCTATTATTCCAAGTTAACTACCTTGTTAGAAATGTTTTTGGGGGTGCCTAGGTGGCTTAGTGGGTTAAGCCTCTGCCTACGGGTCAGGTCAAGATCTCAAGATCCTGGGATCAAGCCTTGCTCAGCAGGGAGCCTGCTTCCCGCTTTCTCTCTGCCTGCCTCTCTGCCTACTTGTGATCTCTCTCTGTCAAATATATAAATAAAATCCTAAAAAAAAATGTTTTTGCTCTCAGATCTCATTCCAACACATTTTTATACATTAGAACCAGCCAGGCATGGGTTCAGCCCCTTTAGTTATTGGCTTGACAACGACTGCCAGGAAATGAAAGTAAATAAGTGAAATGTGGTGGGGATAGGAAGGCAGCAGAGTAAGAAGACCACAGAAGATGCTACCAGAAGGATATGTTTCCACATGTTGCAAACATGCCATAGGGGGTTAAAAAACCAAAACCAGCTTGAGTTAAAATAAAAACAAACCAAAACAAACAGACAAAAAACTCAATGGGCACCTCTGAATGTGGTGACTGGGACTAAATACTGTAGATTTGGGGGGCGGATTAGCCACAGGATGGTTTACTTAACACTGTGGCCTCTCACTGTTGTTTTTCTCGTCCTCTGGGACACATCATGGGCTCTCTCTGCCCACGCTCGGAGGAACGGGAGGATATGAAATTGAAGCCTCAGTCAGAGAGGCTTATTTCTCCCAATTTTAGAGCCCCAAATCAAGTCTCCAATTTCATAGAGGACCCATCCCTGAAAATGCATTCAGTCATCACATCCTCTAAGGCCCACAAATGGAATGAAATCCCCCAGGGGGGTTGCTGTTATTAAAACATTGGAAGTCTGTCCAGACTGGTGAGCCTCACGGTTAGGTTTACGCCCATAACTGAACTCTTCAAGCACTACCTCCCGGCTACAGAAGTTTGCTCTACTTACTTATTTTTAAAGGAATCTTGCAACCCCTACTCTTTCTTATTTACAGGTGCAGCAGCTTACTAGATACTTTCTTAACACCAGATTCCAGTTTTCTCCTTACACTTGAAAAGACGGTTTCAAGAGAATACAGGGCAGACGCTTACCTGAGTGTAATGGCCACAGACCTTGGTGCATCTCTGAGTCTCAAAGTCATAGTCCTGAACTTCACTGTGCCAGCTTGTGATGGCTGAAGATGCAGAGAATAGGGATAGAGAGCCAGTCCAGATGTTTTCTCCCACTGAAGAGAAATTGGGGTGCAGCCTGTTCGAATGCAGCTGTCCATTGTGTGCAAACTTACAGTTTCTTGCCCACGCTTCTGCAATTAGGGCTAGTGCTGGGTCCCACGTCTGCCAAAAGGAACGTTAAACAACAGGAAGGTCAAGAATGAAAATTGTGGTTTTTGAAGATCTTTCAACTACCGTGAGGAAAAAGAGTTGAAGGGGGATCAGTGTAGACACTGAAAGATGAGAACGCTGGTGATGAGAGGGTGACTCAGCCTCCTACAGTTGAGAGAACAGAAAGCCTTCACATGTCACAGAACAGGAATTAGCCTCTTGCACAACCTTCCAGCCCTGTAGGCTGTAGGTAGGCACCACTAAATCTTTGGAGAATCAGGAAACATTACAGGCCACTGCACTCCCCTCACTGTCCCTTTAAAACAGTCTAGGCGAGGCAGAGAGCCTGGAGCTGGATTTTGGACCAGAGTCTGCCTCCAACCCAGGTGGCCAGTCTCCTGAATTAAGCAAGTTGCCATTCCTTTCCATTCAGAAAGAATGAAAACTGTCACCAGACAATGTACTAGGAGTGAGCAGAGTGAGAATCTGAACGGGGATGAGGCGTGATGAGGGTAATGACCGGCAAAGAGAAGGAGTAGCTGCCCTCAGGTCCTCCAGCTAAGTGGGGTCGACTGTAGAGGGCCAGTGGGAAACCTGATGATTGAGTTTTGCAGAATTCAGAATCTAAATGAGGGACACAGATCAGCATTTCACTGTGGGCCCATTACATGCAGAATATGCTGTGTTTCACATAGTTTATATAATTTAATATACAAAATGTGGCCCTACCCTAAGGAACCTAGACACGTTAAAAACCCTGCTCATAGCCACAGAGCCGGGACTCAAACCCAAACCTGATTCAAAATCATATCCTTTCCTGAGATGCCATGCTACCCTCTTGAGAAGGCCAATTGTCTGCCAGCAACAACAACAACAACAGCAACAACAACAACAACAACAAAAAGCAAGTTTAGAGCCAATATAAACCAACAACAAAACCTTCAAAAATTAACTGGGAAGAAAGCGTCAAAAAAAAAAAAAAAAGTAAAATCTATCTATAACCAGAGGAAAGGAAATATCTCAAAAGAGAAGTGAAAGGTACTTGCTGAGCTCGTTTACGAGAGCTGAACTGGATTAGTTTTGACCACAGATTATGAATTCACCACACCCATGAATCAAGATGAAAAAAATAATAAAAGCATTCCGGATTAGCAAGGATTTACCTCCCAAGTCAGTACACATTAGTTGTTTTTTACTTACTTATGCCACGATACTGCTCTTTTCCTTACCATGTATAGCATAGCACTGGCTGTTGGTTTCACCTCTGATCGGAACTTGTTATGAATTTGAACACAGTCTTTGATGAAATCTTCATTTTTGATGTCTGGCAAACTGTTCGCTCCATATTCATGACTGGGAACTACGGAAACCAGCCAAGCTGTCATCACAAGAGCGACTTGCATGCTCAGTGTGCCTGGCACGGAGTCCCGGGAGGCGGGACCCCAGAGCCACCGCAGGTCGTGACCGGCTGCCTCTCTCACCGTTACTGACTTCAGCTTTCAGAAAAAACAAAAAGCAGAACTTGAGCTCATCACAAGTTTAAAAAAAAAAATGGGTTTCTCCTTATATGGTTTGTGGCCACTTTGGGGCTTTTAACCCCGCCTTCTCAGTGGCTTTCAGTAACACAGCACCTACTATAACTTAGATTTTTATGAAGCTACATCAGACTTTCTTTTAGTTAGGGGATATTTCCAAAGGAAATTCTAGAATCTCCAGAAATAACAGTCTCAAATTTTTATGGAGGTTCTGGTGGTTAAATAAAAACATGTTTCTTACTTCTATAAACGTCTGGCAAAATGCTTTTCAGAAACTTTTTTTAAGAGTCGTTATCAGTTGGAATATCTGGCTAACATCGTAACTTGACAGAGAATTCATTCTCGCTGGGGTGTGTGTGTGTGTGTGTGTGTGTAACCAAGGGAAAGAGAGGGAGAAATGGTAGAGAGAGCACTTGTTTCAATTTCACATTTTAGTTTAAGTTCTGTTCCTCACTAGCTGTAAGACCTTGGACAAGTTACCAAACTATAATCCTTAGCTGCCTATTTACTGAATGAGGCAAATAAAACTTTTTCTGGCCCCTTAATCAGAGAGGATTTGGGAGGATCCAATGAACCGGCGAATATACTAACTCAAAACATATTAAATTTCTGCTCTGGGTAATGAGTTTCATAATAGGAGATAAATACTGAGATCTAGTGTTACAGAACCTGGTCTGGATTGCCCGGCAGAAGAACCAAGTGGCATTCAGAGATCTGGGAGGATAGGAAGTTTATCTGACACCAGCAGGCTCAGAGAAGAGTGATCTCCAGAAGTCTGAGCCCAGACCACAAGCAATGGGGGTAATTTATACACTTCTACTTCTGTACCCATGGTGCACTTTTGGCGCACGCACAAAGTGGGGCAGGAAGAAGAACCCAGAAGGGCCCTGTGGCAGGAACTGGGATTTCCCTGCTGGCTTGGTCGGCCATCTTAGAACACAGATTTTCCTTATCACTAGGAGTTCAGAGAAGTACGAGCTGTGAGATGGTGGTGACAGGGTTGCGGACAATTGAAGGTCTAGGTAGAAGATGGCACCTGGGGCTAAGGACTTACAGAGGATGCTTAAGCCATTCTGGGAAGAGTCAGAATGGTTTCCTACAACAGCAGCGATGTCTTTTCTGAGCCGGAATCAGACTGGTGTTGATCAAGCAAAGAAAGGGTAAGAAGGTGAAGAGAACTGGAGGGGATAGGGACCACATATCTGATGCAGGCAGACCCTGTCCAGTTACCCAGCAAGGGTCCCACAGGACCAAACAAGAGGGTCTTTGGCTTAGAGAAGGATGGAAATCAGACATGAGCCAGCAGGAGGTGACAGCAGAGTTTACTCAAGACACACACACACACACACACACACACACACACACACATCTGAGACAAAGGCAGGCACTTACCCAACTAAGCCACCCAGGTACCCCTATCTCTTCATCCCTTATAAGGAGGACATATGTAGAAGGGCTGACTGGCTCAGTCTGTAGCAATGCCAACTCTTGATCTCAGGATTATGAATTCAAACCCCACACTGGGCATTGCACCTACTTAAAAAAAGTAATAATAAAGGAGGACATATGTTATTTGCATTACAAGGCATGTGTAGAATGGGGAGGGGGTGCAGGTCCTAGTAAGACTAGAAGCTGGAAAAGAAGCAAAGGAAAAAAAGAGCCCCCCCTTCCTCCTCATGGGATCCCTTCAGTTTCCCTGTCTCGTATCCAGCTATGAAGTTGAAAATGCGAAGTCTTGGCAAGAACAGGGAAAGAGCCACAGCATGTTGCCTCTCTCGGTAGAGATGATCTTCAAGTATGGCTGGTAAGAAACATGGTACTGGATCTCATGGAATTTAGAATCCAACTGGGGAGAGAGGTAAGAGTCCCATCAGGGAAAACTTCTGGATTCTGCCAGCGGTTTGGATTTTATCAGAAATCGAATAGGAAGTTATAGAAGGGATTTTAGCTGTAGTTGGGGTGGGATCTGGTTTTAGAAAATACCAGTATTTTAGAAAATCAAGAGATATGATGAACGGAATAGGCTTGGGGGATTATTTTTAATGGAAATTCTCTCTCTCTCTCTCTCTTTTTTTTTTTTTTAAGATTTCATTTATCTATTTGTCAGAGAGAGAAAGAGCACAAGCCGGGGAGCAGTAGGCAGAGGGAGAAGCAGGCTCACTGCTGAGCAAAGAGCCCGCTGTGGGACTCAATCTCAGGACCCTGGGATCATGACCTGAGCTGAAGGCAGATGCTTAACCCACTGAGCAACCCAGGTGTCCCTTTAATGGAAATTCTTAAAAGAAGAATTACAGAACTCTAAACTGAAATTATTGCTGCCACTCCCCACCCCCAACGAACTCACAAAATACTCATATATAATCTCAATTGTGTCCAGGTTGCCTAAAATTGTACTAGCATTACTTTCCATTTTATTGACCTAAGACTCCTAGTGTAAGGCTCAGAGGCAACCTTTTGATCAACGTAGTGATAGTCAACAGTGAGACCTTCTGAGGTAAGAGGCAGGCCTCGTTCTTCTGAGTCTGTGAGCTAGACTGAATTTTGAGCACCAGAACAAGAAAAATAAAACCTTGCAAACAAGGAAATTCAGTGATATTTTGTGATCACTTGATCCCCCAAACCCTTGAAGTTCCTAATTTCCACAACAAAAACATTTCCACAACAAAAGACCACAGAAGTGGTTTACTCAGAAGAGGAACTTTCTGCTAGGTTGCAAATACAGGCCTCCACTTCTTTTCAAGAAGACTTACAACTTTACTGAGTCTTTCCTCTCTTTAACCTGGGTTGTTGCCATGCTCTCCATGAAAAGTATGTATGTGTGTTAAGAAAGATTTGTTTTCAGTGTTTATCTCTGAATAGTGGCCGTTTAGATTTTTTTTTTAATTTTACTTTCCTTATTCTTTTCTGTATTATGGAAATTTTTTTACAGTGACCATATATATTTTTTAATCAGAAAAAGAAACTAAAACATTTTTATTTTGTAGAACCGTGGGATCTTTCTAACTACACACAAATTAACACATATACATTGCTGATAAAACCGTGCATTGGTAAAAGACTAAAGGGCTTGTGGATGAATGATGAAGTAGGGCTCTCTATCCCAGCATGTTTTACTTAAGAACCTTCTAAAAAAAAAATACAAAAAACAACAGTTCCAATAACTGGAGATAATTGTACGTATTACGGGAAAAATCTTACCCTTGCTGTGTTGTTCTAGACCTTTTTTTTTTTTTTAAAGATCCACAATGGACTTTCTTATTTCTTGGGGAGAAATGATGTAGACAATATCCCTAATTAGATTCTGTAGATGTTTTGTTTCAAGAGGCGCTAGTCACCTTCTACATTGAGGATGAGGGTGGGTGGGGATGGATGGAGGGAAAGGGTCCCGAAAGGGGGAAGGACTATAACGTTTATCAACCTAACACGAACAGGACATGGTTGTATTGTCTGTGTGGTAATACCTCACACAATAATAACTTGGTACAAGCCAGTGGTCTGGATGCTCGTGGGTCCAAGTTAACTCTAATCCTTATCCTAGGAGCCATTAGTCAGCACTGAAGAACTCTACTCAGGAATCCACACTCCAGAGGTGCTCGGAGCACTTCACATACAGTTATGAAAACTGACACCAGAGAGCTTGTTAATTAGGGTAGGGATGTTAATGGTTTCCATTGGCACCATGAATGCTGTTCAAAGTGGATGGTGTGTGGGAAGACGGAACATACCCCCCTGCCATGGCATGAAGGAGCTTTAAGAGAGATCGCCAAGCACACTCTCTTACAGAGTCCCTGGTCCCAGCCCTCACCTGAAGAGGGGATCCGACTTGAGGAGGGGTGTTGGGCAAGCCTTGCATACGAGTGAATGGTTGGAGCAGACAGAGTGGACCTGTCTTTGTAACTGCTTGCTAACGAATGTTTAGACACTTAGCAGAATTGGTCTAGGACTTGCTTTCATAGTAACATAACATCAAAAATTGAAGCTGGGATGAGGAAACAAGTCTTTGCCTAGCCCGGGTCCCACGGCATGAGGTTTCATGAGAACCTGACATTTGAAACCACGTGAATTAGGCCATGTGGCCCCAGGGACAGCAAGCCCCAGGCCGAGCTGGTTCAGATCCGTTATCTCACTGTGCTTTCACAGTAGCTATGGGAGATGCATTATTATCCTTATTTTACACATCCCAATTTTGAGACTTTTTTTTAAAGAACTTAAACACCTGGACCAAGAGCATGGTACTACTGAGATGGCAACATCGGGTCTGCCTGACTGCAAATCCTGTTTGGAGTTGAGCACAGGTACTTTTTTTTTTTTTCCTCCTTTAATTTATTTATTTGTCAGAGAGAGAGAAGGGCAGGAAGAAGGAGAAGCAGACTCCCTGCTGAGCAGCGAACTCCATTCTCGATTCTTGGGACTTGATCCAAGGACCCTGGGATCGTGGCGTGACCTGACCTGAAGATAGACACTTAACTGACTGAGCCACCCAGCTGTCCACGAGCACAAGTTCTTTAAACTGTCTAGGTTCAAAGGCGGTCCTATGTACTGGCTGTAGAACTGAGCCTTCTACTTCTCCGTTCCTTAGTTTCCCTATCTTTAAAAAAGGGATAATAATAACATCCACTTCATTGAATTGATAAGAAATTACTTATAAAATAAAAAATTCAGTTCATGCAAGACACATAAATACTACTTCTATTAACTATTATTATTACTTCCCTTTAATAATATAGGTATGCATAAGTGTGTCCCACAGGTACCAAAAAGAAAACTTAGAACATTTTCATACTTTATGGAGTTACATTTAAATAAGTTAATTATTAGAAAAAATATATCTTGACAGTATAAAAATCATTGTGATAGATTCACAATGGATTTTGATGCATATTATTCAGAATGCTGTTAGATTTGTTTCTTAATAGATTCCTTATGCCGTGATTTTTTTATGCC